GCGTGTAACAAGTAGATCAGCTGCTGTTGTATGAGCTGCCGCTTTTCAGGATCAGTAGCCACTGTTGAGGAGCTTGTGCTCTGGGGATTCTGCACGGAGGAAGTAGTCATAGTAGAGGGATAAGACGGAGGATATCTCGGAGTGCTGCCTGAGGACGAAGCAATCGGCTGAGAAGCGTACGGGGGCGGAATTTGTCCACGGTCGGATTGTGCGAGTGTAGCGCTTGTTCCGACAAAACGTTGTGCAGGGGGCTTAGCACCACCTACTTCCAGATGGTTACTTATGACAGGACAGGACGGTGGGACCATGTACGCATTAACGGGATTTTGAACGGTTGGAACACGTGCAGTGACTTCCGAGGCGCCAGGTTGAAATTTGGGAACTTGGTTTGAACTGGTACCAGGTAGGTCAGTGCCCTGAGTGCTTGTGGAAGAAACTTGGCCGGGATGAATTTGTTGCAGAGAGTGCGCGTTACTACCGTACTTTAATTGTTGTTGCAGATGAGAAGGATCGCCAGGAATGGAGTATCCGGCGTTCAGCACTGAGTCTGAATTATCATGTGACAAAGCATTGTTCTGAAACGCCGAGGTTCCATGCGCGAGGTTTGAGTGACTCTCTTGATCCATTAATACAAATCTGCGGTAAAAAAGACGACACAAAAAGCGTGAAACATTAGCTTTATGGTAATTATAAACATTTGAAGAGGAATGAGCCTAATAAAGTAAATATCTAAACTCTGTTGACTCTTCACAACGAGAACGCGTGCGTGGATTTCAAAAAAACGTGATCTGTGCTAACCCCTTGACAGATTAATGAGTGACATAAAAGCAAGTAAAATTTTCGCAGAAATATAAAATTTACTCACCAGGTAAACAAGCTTCATTTAATTTTACAGATTACTGCATACTTTTTGCCTATGAAAATTACAGTTTACGAACAAAGATGGCTTCCGCAGTTGATGGAATCCGCACGGTCTGATTGGCTAAGGAACGTTAAAAGACCTGACTTCTGAGACATATTGGTGGAGTTAAACAAATACACCACTGCTGATATCTATCCAGTCTGCTAATCAAATCGCAAGGCATAAAACCAATACGCAGGTATTTTTGAACTTATCAGATGTCTTTTAACGTATTTTAATGGTCTCTAGTGCGAAAATATACCTGTTTTTATCCACTGCCGGTAACAGCGGACTCATTCAGAGCACGTTCTCCACTTTTCTGTGTAGGTCA